TCAGCAGCTTGTACCCGCGTTCGAAGTTTTTCAGTGATGGTCCACGATTCATGACCGTAGGTAAGTATGGCGCTAAAGATCGACTTGAATATTGAGAGTTTAGTTTTCAGACTGAGCTCTCCTTTAGTCACAGTGGATAGGATTGGTTCACTCAGATCGCCATTGGCTACTCCAATCCATCAGTCGAAACTATGAAAGACGGGCTATTCGAAATCAAATAGTACAGCAAATTCGACGTCCTTCACGAAGTGGAAGAAGAAGCAACAGAGGCAGTGGTTGTAAAGAAAGCAGTTACAGGAACACCAAAAAAAATATCCCGAACATAAATTATTAAAGTCGACTAAGAAATCAGGAGGCAAACCGAGCACCTCGTGGAGAAATGAAGACTGAAACCGATAATAAATCAAATATCGAGTACGTGAAGCTTCGCAAACCTTTTAGGATACGGGCAAAAGAACACGACTGAAAATTCAACTACGGATTCGTAAGGCAATCTAATGAAAATGACAGAAGCATGACGAAATGAAATCAAAAATTTGCGAAATAAATTATAAAGTGGTGATTTTTTAAAAGCATTGAATAATCACGAGAAATCGTTAAGCTTAGGTATTTCTCTCTAAGCTTATTCATGAATGAACATTTGAATAAAAAAAAGTTGAAAAACTAAATCCTAGGAGGAGAGAAAATGTTGTATTATGAGTGTCTTCATTCCAGGTTATCTGAGAAATAATGGCTCTTTCGGAGAATAGTTTCTGTTGCGAAATCGCACATCCACAGGAAAAGTTTCTTAGCGATGAACAATCCATGGTTCATTAAAGTGTCATAAGTATTAATGTTGGTTATGACGTAATAAATGAATGATATTCAGGTAGCGATTTAGCCAATCCTACCGTAACCTGAACTGAAATATTTGTTCATCTGTCATTGGTGAATCGTTTGTCATACAGCTCAATCTGGATTTTTCAAATGTTCCAGTCCAATTTTACTGTACCGGAGTGGTGGTAATTTGAATTCTTCATTGAATGCAAGGTATGCCGCATTGAAATGAACTTATTTACGATGTTTACGTTATTGAAATTACTTGTTTACAGCGGCTGCTTCCTTATGTTGCAGGCGGTGATTGATCTCACCCGTTTAGGTCTAGCCACGCCATATTCTCGACTGTAGTGCTGTCTCGACACATCCTAAATTCATTCAAGTCTGATCTTGGTCTGAAATCCAATAGACGTTGCCAGGTGTTGATAAACGATCAGAAGAATGTGCTTCAGTTCTCTTTGCTGAGGTGTTTTACCTTGATCGAACTTCTTCCGAGTTTTTGTCATCTAATTTAATTTAAATTTATTTTACGCATCGTTGAGCAGACGATGAGAAATTAATTTCGACCTCGGTCCTTCCCCGTTCCCAGTCTTCATGCTGGCGGTGCAAGTAGAAACTTGACGAATGCACATGGATCCCATCGATGAACAATCCCCAACTTAACTGGAATGGTCGTTTCGCCTTCCTGTCCACTAGTCAATTTCTCGGCAGTTTTCGCGACACAAGCCACCAGCGATACCACATCCGTCGGTCATTGTTCTTTGCTTCATGTAGTGCTTTTTTCAAAGTGCGTGAGAATATCATTTTTGCTTGTTCAGAAGCGTTGGAATGAACATAAAACTTAAATGCCCCCTCCCCCGTATGGCCCCACAAATTATCTAAAAGTCTGGAATACCTGTTTGGTATCCGTTAACGACTACCTTTTTCAACTGACAGGATTGAATCTCGACACCCTCACAATATGCAGTTTTAAAAATACCAGGATGCAAAGTAATTTTTCTGGTCCGTCCACCACGTTTACTCGTTGCAGTCGCACCGTCCACGTTTTCATGACCAAGAGACACATGTCCAGCAAGAGATTGAAAAATTGTTAAAGTGATTAACTTCGTCCAAGTGGGTCATGAGAACATGA